TGTTCTTACAGATGATCGTTTTATGAGTTCCCTGACGTATTTATTCTTAGGGTCTAGTACTAGTCCTTCCTTACCCTTGATAACTCTTGCGACAGCTTGAACACGCTCCACTTGGTTTTCAAAGTCTCTCTTTTTATTTGCTGTTGAAATCTTATTTAGTTTCTCTAGGCGGGCTTCTATTTCATCCCAGTCAGCTTCAAATGATTCGTTGAATGCATCTAGCACATCTGGAAGTAAATTGTTTGGGTCTTCCACAAAGTTGACTTCTGGGACAGTTGTGCTTCCAGATGGACCTGAAATGTTCACTGTACCATCATTTCCTTCTGTGAAAGTTGTTTCTTCTATTGCACGTCTCTCCATGAGATCCTTTACATAGTCCAGTTCACTTTTAAGATCAGTTAATACTATAGGGTCATCACCATACATAGCCTCTCCCTTCACCCTTGTATCTAACCTACTAAAAGCTGTCGTTAGGTCATCATAATTAAGATCGTCATATTGAGGATACGTCTTCTCCTCCATCTCGTATTCACCATCATCATCATAGTCCTCCATAATACTTTAACTTATGTTAGGGACTTGATGTCTCCAGCTGGTATCCAACTATTAAATTTGTCATCGTAACCTAACCACTTAATGAGGGCCATCTTTTTACCCTTCACAGTTCTTCTCCGTAGTACTTTCTCTATTTTGAAATCAGGTTCCCTTCCTTCAGCGCTATACAGTTCTTGTTCATAGAATCTACCAATTATTGGTTCATCAGCACTGTCTTTTATTGTGTACGTGTTTGGATGACCGTGATACACTTCCGTCACAGTGAACAATTCCTCTGTGAAGTTTGCTTCATACCCTTTTGTGAACACTGATTTGTACTTTGAAATTCTAACACTTTCTCCGACAGCAAACTTTGGTTCTGATGGCTTGCCTAAATTGTGACTAAAAAGTGTCTTCCATACTTCAGTCCAGTTGGAATCATTTACACTGTCCGGTGTTGTTTTAATTGATCTATTCACTGAACTGTTGTAATTATCAGTTAAGTCTTGAAGGACGTCTAACCATTTATATGTACTGGCACTGTAAAAGTACTTCCACATTAGCGCTTTCAGTGTTCTGTTAAATCTTTCCACAACTGCGGCCTTTTTGTCTGAGTAAGTGGAGAAAAATTTAATGTTATATGTTTATTGAGCAATGACTTTACTTCTTTGTTGTAAAACTCTGTGCCCTGATCAAACTGGGTGAATTTTGGGTATTTACCAAAACGATTAGTAAATTGCTCTAAAATGTTACTGACTGCGTCCTTCATTGATGTCGCGTTTTTCCTATACACTGGTACTGTGAATGCGTACCTACTTAGTATTTCGATTGATGTTAGAATCCATCGGTATCCCTTATTCTTGTCGTCATATTTTGTCATGTCAACTAAATCCATTTGTAACTGTTCACCTAAAGTTTGAACGTACGTCTGTCTGAACTTATGTTTCCTGAATACTTGTCTGTACCTCGTGTATGTGTCCTGCTCATTTATCCATTTCTTAACCTGGTTTCTGGTTACTTTAAGTCCGTCTGATACTGCTCTAAGATATAGTTTCTCTGGTGTCTGGAATCCAGTCTTAGGATTGTAGTAAATATCTCGTAGTCCCTGTTCTTTCATAATATCATCGTCCATCTTATATTAACCAATGTAAGCTAACTACCGACTACGTTAGTAGACGCCAATAACTACTTGTGTAGTTATTGCTCAAGGTACATCTCAAGTAGCACTTCACCTATATCAATAGGTTTCCCGTCTTGATCAGTCGTGTAGAATACAAGTTCTGAGAAAGAACCCTTAATAACTGAAATCCTGCTTTCAACATCAATGTAACTAACAACTGAGCCTAATAATGGTCTGTCAGTTGGAACTGTAACACTTGTTATTACATCGCTGGGTCTTCCCCAAGGGTTAACGTTAAAAATGTTACTCACTAGATTGCAGTGTATATTTACAACTCGTAGACCATTATTAAAGTCAACCTTGCTGTCACTTGTCAAACTCCTCCCTTTTAGTAGGATCATAGGATTATTAAATCTATTAAAGCCAAGCATTGTTAAAAACCTGGTTTCTATTGTGATATCTTGTTTTACTGCCTCTATTTGACATCCTGCTGTTTCTGGAAAATATGTTAGTTTAACACCGTGTCTCTCAAGTAATTTTCTCATACTGTCAAATGTATAGTAGCCCTTGCTAACAATCACGTCAGTTTCACCACCAGCTGTTTTAACCTTGAGAATAGTTGTTGGTTCTCTTATATTGAAATATTCCCAGAAAACTGAAACTCTCTTCACAAAGACTGAATTATAGTTGCTTGTTAAAACTGAATTCTGTAGTGATATAATAGTGTGCGAGCTCTGGAGTAAAATTGTGAACTTCATCTTAATAACATACGTTAGGTTATTAAGAATGAGACTAGGTGGAGGAGACATTGGGAAGTCACCGTATAGGTCTTACCAAGACTACGAAAAAAAGTATGGAAAGGAAGATGAAAATAATGTTGATCCCATTGCTGGCAAAAAAGCCGAGGACGCTGAGAGGGCTAGGTTTATGAAAAAGTATCCTCACGCTGATATGAAAAGGTTCAAGTTCGAGGCTATGACAACAAGTAGTGGTGATATTGGAGTTGTTACATGGTTTGTGGATTTAGATGGTATAAGTTCATATGACATTAGATATGACGGTTTTAAGAAGGATAAGGAGTTTACATATTATCTCACAGGTACTAAGAAAATTATTACTCCTGCTCAGTTTATACCTATGACTGATACAAAGGTTACAAAAAGTGAGATTCTAGGTTTAGTTGACGGTTGGCCTCTAAAGTGGAGGTTGGGTTCTAATGTAAAAGCTAAGTTAAACAACAACGATACATTTGATAGGTTCAGCTGGTTTCCCAGGATTGGGTGGAACACTCCTGCACATTCATTCAAGGTTTATGTGGACGGTAAAAGCTTCTTTGTAACTTCCGGGGAGGCCGGCGGAAATATGCTTCCTAAAATTGAAGACAGTATTAAGATTGATGGTGTAAGTACAGTGTTCGACTATAAGAAACCCTATTTTGCTGCCCTTTGTGGTGCATATATCGCAACATACTTATGCGGAATCACAAGCGGTCATCTTACTCCAAGTGATGATACTTACCCTGTGATAACAAGTATAATGAACTTTCACCTTTACTACTGCATTAGGAAGTATGTGTACAAACCTGAAAGATTAGTTCCCTATATGGATATGCTGGATTCTATTAAAAAGCATATACCTGTTAAGGGTAAGTGGGTAAAGAAAAGTGATTATTATGATGTTGTATACGATTATGGACTCGACTGGGAAAAAAAGTAACTGGATTAAGAAGAGGGGTAATGGTAGCAATCCTGTAAGAAATGTAACCAATTCTTCAGTCATGACCGTTAATGGGTTCCTGAAAGGAATTCGCGTACGCTATGAGGAAAGAGTGTCGGTTTCGCTTGTTAGTAAGTCCGATTATTTAAGGTTTGTTAGTACTCAGACTGATCCGTATTTTGGACTTACAAAAACTGGCTTACTTCTATTAGGGGAATCAATTGAAGCTCAATCCCAGATGGATTATCCATAAACATATGCAAATACGCGGATGATTGTACACAGGACGAAGTGGTGTCACAAGGTTCATCCAGCCATATGCAGGAGGCCCTTGAAGCAGTACAAGAATGGTCTAATAGGAACAAAATGACGATAAATTCGAAGAAAACAAAAGATATGTGGATATGTTTTAACACAGCAATACCGGCACCAGAACCATTGGTCATTGGAAACGAGGTAGTGGAAAGAGTAAATTCTCATAAACTGTTGGGTGTCTGGCATCAAAACAATTTGAAATGGAACTGTCATGTCAAGAACATTGTAAGGAAAGCAAATAAACGAATGTTTAGTCTGAGAGAATGCCGTAGGGCGAATCTTCCTCCTGAGGTCGGTATTACATGTTATGAATCCAAGATTAGACCTGTTTTAGAATATGCAGCTCCGATATGGGGTGGTTTACCACAATATCTCATTGATGAAATAGAGAGCATTCAAAACAGATGCATCAAAATCCTCGGCACATCTCGGTGCAACTTTGAAACGCTAGAACAAAGAAGGGCACACCTAACTGTTAAGGAATACCAAAGAATTCTAAGTGATCCGACCAACCCATGTAATAAACTTATCCCCCAACCTTTTACCCATGAACACGATCTAAGAACAACAAATAATCTACCATATGTTGTATCGTATACTAAAAGACACCGGCAATCCTTTATACCTAGAGCTATATCCCTTTTAAAACAGTCGTAAATTAATTTTATAGAATATATAACTAGTATAAACATTTTTAGCAACATTGATGTAAATAATAGTAAAATTTCTTCTTATCAATTTTAACCTTAGCACTTCTTGTAAATCCATTGTACTTTTTTAACCAAAGATGGATATTAAATGTTATTATTATTATTATTAAGCTTACGTTTACTCTGTGTTAGGTGCACAGGCAGCTACCAGATCACCTATCACTGGAAGCTATGGAAAGTCATCTGCTACCCAGGTTAATTTCAGCGCACTGGTAAACGATCCAAGCTGATCCTGTTGTAACCCTAAGTAATATGAGAATTTCTATTAGAGACACAAATGTTGTACTTAACACAGCCGTTACCCCTGGAACTGTTCTGATTCCATCAAGTCTCATAATTCTAAGTAAGCCTATACCTGGGTATAACAATATTCTAAAAAACGCAACAAAGGATATGAAAAGAGGAGTTAACACTAACCTCAACTATGTGGGGGTTAAGCAAGTTGATCCCCCAAAGAAACAGCATCAAGACAATACACCAGTTCACCACCTTGATACTATTGATGGAAATAAAAAGGTTCCGGGAGGTCCTACAAGTTCTGAGACTCAAGTTGTTCCTATCATGAAACATGATGCGGTTAGTACCCATGAGTCTTCAGGAGTTAACGCTATCGCTGGGGCTGGGATTGGTGCTGTAATTGTATTTATTCTAATGAAAGTTGCCCTGTAAACATTGTGTATGTTATAAAATGGCTCTCTATAAGGGATATATTAAAGGTGTAAATGAGGTAGATCCAACAACTGGTAGTGTGTTTGATAAAAACGGATTTACCATGAAGGGTGACATTGAGATGGATGGTAATGAGGTAAAAGGTCTAGGTGCACCAACAGATGATACGTCTGCGGTCACAAAAAAGTGGGTGGATGATGAGATAGTCAAACAGGCTGCCCTTACAATTCAACCTGTAGGGTTTACAATGACTGGGGATATTAACATGGGAGGTAATAAAATAACTAATCTTGATAATCCTACTAACCCAGGTGATGCTGCTAGTAAGAGCTGGGTTGAGGGTAGCCGTAGACATGTACACGCAAGTCTACCTGGACTTATCCTTACAAATGACCTCAATATGTCAACAAATGAGATAAAGGCTTTAGGTGATCCTACAACTGGAAAGTCTGCTGTTAGTAAGGATTGGGTAGTTGGAATGTTAAATAAGCCTGTAACTGGACTTGATATTGCTGGAGACATCGATATGAAAAACCATGAGATTAAGAATCTTAAGGATCCCTCTGAGGATCAGTCTGCTGTCACTAAAAAGTGGGCGGTTGATAATAACTTTAGATTGAAAGGTGGAATTATGCAAGCAGATGTTTCCATGGGAGGCTGGAGGTTATTTGATCTTATTGGACCTAAACTTAATAGTGAAGCTGTATCTAAGGGTTGGGTTGAGAGTAAGCTGTCAATATTTGCTACTACCACTGGTTTTAGAATGACAGGAGAACTTGACATGGGTGCAAATCGTATTAAAAATGTTGCGATTCCGAAAAGTGGAGGTGACGCTGTTAATAATAATACTCTGACGTCGGCCTTAAATTCTTTTAGAATATTAAGTGACACAAATTATCTTAAAAGAACCGGTGGCTCTATGACTGGAAATATGAATACAAATACTTTCCAAATTTATTCCAACGCTGTCCCCGATAGGGACTCCTCCCTTGTAAATAAAAAGTGGGTGGTTGATAGGATTTCAAGAGGTGGAGTATACTCAGGTGCAGGTTTTACAATGGTAGGGGACATTGATATGGGTAGAGGTAAAATTGAGAATGTTGCTGATCCAACTACTCCCCAGTCTGTTGTAACAAAAAGCTGGTTTAATCTAAATGAAGGGACTTTCTTACGGTTAGACGGAACAGGATCACTAAATGTTGCTGGTATTGTTAATTTCACAAATACACCTACATGTAATAGCAATCCAGTCAGTGACAGTTCCCTTGTAAATCGTGGGTACCTAAGGTCAAGTCTTCTACCCTACCTGGAGCTTAGCGGTACAAGTGTAATGACTGGTAAACTTAAGATGGGTGGAAATGAAATAGAAAATCTTGGTGCTCCTAGTGATGATGGATCTGCAGTTAACAAAAAGTGGGTGGAAGATAAGATTAGCGGTGGTAGAAGGAGGCGTGAGACTTACAGTGGACTTACACTATCTGCTGACCTTGATATGGGAAACAATGAAATTATAAAGTTAGGTGCTCCCACAACTGATAATTCTGCTGTGTCTAAGAAATGGGTCACGGATCATGTTAGTGGGAGTTCTGTAAGTAGTAGTGGCTTTAGTATGAGCGGTAATATTGACATGGCTGGTAATACTATTACGGGGTTAAATAGTGGGTCAACTGGATCTTCTAGTGCTGTTTCTTACGGTTCTATGACTTCATGGTGCTCACAGTTTCTCAAGCGTAATGGTGGCACTTTAGCTAGTAACTTAGATGTTAACGATTACGAGTTGACTAGAGTTGGAAATCCTACTACTGACGGTTCTGCTGTTAATAAGAAATGGGCAACAGATGAGTTCATGAGTAGTAGAGGTGGACTGGTAAAGGGTGACTTGGATATGGGAGATTCAAGTGGAATTCTAGATTTAAAGGATCCTGTAAATGATAAGGATGCTGTTAACAAACAGTGGGTAGAAAATAATTTCCTGAAACCTTCAACTGGTCTTACTCAAGCAACGGCTGACCTAAGATATGTAAGAATACGGAGACATATACATGCAGAATGGACTTGGGGTTACCGTGGTGTAGCAGTTGCTGCGGCAAGGTACTACGCCTACTGCCACAATCAGATTCCCCCTTCATGGAGGACGGATCCTATTAACAATATGACAGACCTCAATCTTGAGTCAATTACTATTAAATCAGACTCCCCAACTTTTCGAACCTGGTTGAACATACCCTTATCCCTAGTCCTGTGGGCTACTGTATGGGAAAAACAATCAAACGGAAAATTTACACAGGTAAGGAAGGAAATCGCTCTAAGAACAGTAGACTTAACAAAACTGTCACACACATGGTTCAACGGAACTTTTACGGCTACTGGTGGAAGTACAGCTTGCTACGTCTTTAAGGGTAACAGTCTGTTCTATTTAGGAGGCCAGCTGGAGCTGGTAGATAACACGCTAGCTTGGTGTATTATAGTTAAACCTGAACACTCAATGCCCATCGGTATGAGTATGGATATGTCATTCTGCTGGTCACTTCGATATTCAGGGTCAGGTAGTTAACATGTGGTTTATCATAAGATAAGATGTCAAGGTGGAGGTCATGTTTCTCCTGCTTAGGTAAGATTTGTGGTTGTCGTAAAAGTTCTAGTAGAAATGGGAAGGCTGGTGATATAAATTTCTCTGTATCAAATAATATTAACATTGGAGTGAGCACATAAGATAAGAAAGATGATTTAGAATTTAGACCAAAATCTGAAAGTTACGGTCACCTAAAAATGCTCGAGGAAAAATCAGATATTAAATAGTGTAAAAATGGTCTAGAAAAATGATGGTAAAAAATGGTCTAGAAAAATGAGGTAAAAAAGCCCAAGAAAAATGGTCTAGAAAAATATGAGCCCGCGATTTTGAGGGAAAAATATGGAAACCGCTGACCGGAAGTCGGGTAAGATCGCGGGCCGAAAAAGTGGTCTAGAACCCTCATTCCCTATACTACTGCAAAACAGTTGCCCAATCCCGAGAAAATGGGTGATCAATGATTATCCTCTATTAAATTGTATTACAGCAAAAGAATGGGAAATTCTGTATTCAATTACAATAAAAATGACTTGCATCATAGATATAAAAAACTGTTTAAATGTCTTATATGTAGGTTTTTGTAAGCTTTCTGATAATGCAAGTCATTTTTGTTGTAATTGAATACACAATTTTACATTTTCTTGCTGTAATACAATTTAATAGAGGATAATCACTGATCATCCATTTTCTCGGTGTTGGGCAGGTTTTTTGCTTGGGAACTTTTTGTGGTAATTAAGCATCTATGGTTCTATGAATTGAACTACAGAAAATCAATTTACTGGAGGGTGCCACGAAATTGCTTTTCTAGGCACTTTTTTGCACAACAGCCCACGGCCACATATAGTATGGTGGTAATAATATACTTACTCGTGTAGATCAGTTTTGTCCACTCCAAAACAATGAGCTGCAGTTAACACAAACTCTTGATTGATTAATGTTCCACCACACGCGTGCTTATCTAAATTGAAATTAAATGTGATCTGTTGATGAACAAAAAAAACAAAGAAAGATGGCGATATACCTACCTCCAATCAATATCCTGACTGCCCAAGGCCAGCTTCCTTCATTTGCTATTTTTCCACCAACAATTCGAGCTCTTGCATGAAATGGTTTAAATGACGAAGTACCACATTCAGAGTAATCTAGTAATATAAAACTTCATTGGTTGGGGTTTTCCAATCAAACATTTCATTATTGTATCGATGAATGCTCAGTCAGTCTGTTACATAATCGATTAACCTAACAATAGTTTTATTGATTATAAGGGATAAATTAAAGTTCTCACAAAGTATGAGTTATTTGTTAACACTTAGTAGAACCAGGTAGAACACAGGGTTCGTACAAAACTTGAAAATCCTTGATAGTCCTTGAATCAGTCATGATCCAGTGATCAGAATGTTCCATTGTCTTTTCATTGTTTTGAAAATTCCATTGTTCTCCATGTCGTCCAGTCATTATCCAGTGATCAGAATGTTCCATTGTCTTTTCATTGTTTTGAAAATTCCATTGTTCTCCATGCCATCCAGTCATGATCCAGTGATCGGAACAGTGCTGGAAAATGTCCGGCAGCGCCAGCAGCATTGCTACCAGGAAATATTTAGCAAAATATCTTACCTTGCAGGAAATTTTTGCTATTTTACATAATTTACTTATTGTTTACAAAAGCGTTTTGCAAATCGAGATTGTCTTGTGCCGAGGTTGAAGTTTATCACAATGTGCGGCACCATACGTTCTCTGAAATCTGCATATGCAGGATGTTTTATATTTGACTTACACAGGAAGTTTTGCTGGCAGGAAGAGAAATATATTTTCTAGGCCTGGATTGGAATGTTCCACTGTCTTTTCATTTAATAGTTTTGTTTGTGGAAACACCACGTAAATTTATTACTGCAAAACTTTCGATCCGTAAGCCCGGATCTTCATCAGTGCTAATAGGAGGGGGGGTGGTGTTTCCACAAACAAAACTATTATATGTTTTATCGCCATGCAAACATACTTATGTCTTTTCATTGTTTTGCAAATCTCACTGTTCTCTAAATTCTCACTGTTCCCAAATTTCACTGTTCTCCAATTTCTTTTCATTGTTTTGAAAATACCACTATTCCTAACCCCAATGATCACCCTTTAGGCTACGTTTACACAATATAACGGATAGCTTTCCGTAGCGGCATGAAAAAGCACCAATCCGATACGGAACGGAATGTACAACTTTCGGAAGCTGAGCGAAACAACATCTCTCCGTTGCAATAATTCCTCTGAAAATAGCGTGCCTAACAGGTACGGATAGGTGTTTTTCACGTCGCTACGGAAAGCTATCCAGTACAAGTGTAAACGTAACCTTAAAAAACTTACTTCCATTATCACAAACAGCGACAGTTCCATTCCATGTTTTATCATCTTGACAAGTTCTCTTCCTTGACCCATACAAAGTAAATCCAGAGTTACAGGAAAACTGCACTGTCGAGCCGATAAAGAATTTACTACCAAGTATTCGACCATTTTCTGGAATGTCTGGCTTTGGACAGCGTTTTTCTAAACACAAACAGAATATAATTCTTTATATATTTCATTCTGTTACCGAAAAGGAAAACAGACGGGTTTCACCAAGCACCGGCTATTGACTGTGAAGTAGATGGTGGTAAACTTGCAGTTATCAGAATGGGAGAATAACGTTAATTCTTTCGCTATATGTAGTAGTCTTGTATTTGGTTTCACGATGGATTCTTGCTCTGTTGGGCGACAACATTTCTACAGTTGATCACTATCTGCTACGCTGTATAACGATCCTGAAAGCGGCCAATATTAAATTGACTGTTGTGTCTTAATTACTTAGTAAGCTTTGCAGAGCACTATAGAGCTCATGGTTAACTTCCGAACTGTGTACACGTATATAGGAACGAGATCGCTCTCTTTCTTAACATTGATTACAATTTCGCCACAGTTTCATGTCAGGAGAATGTTTTCAATTTGACCCTATCTCTGGTACTCATCACTTATTGCTCCAGGAGAAATTTAAACCTGTGGTGTTTGGCAGAGTCAAACATCGAAGCACTCTTGTCCCATGTGACTGAGGTAAATTTATAGTCAGACCGGCAGCATATCAAAAATCAAACCCTGATGACATGGCCTAATTTTTATGCCACCACCAAACAAGACTTAAATTTCAACTAGTCAACATTTTCTAACTCGAATCTCAATGTTTCCCTCGACTTCGTCTCGGGAAACATTGAGACTCTCGGGAAAACAAAACTAACTATTTCCCTCGGGAGCAGACATTAAGTGTATAATATATACAGGGTGTATAAAAAAAAGCACAATCCTCAACTGAAATGTAAATTGCTAAACAAATAATGGACGAAAACGTTAAAGTTTACATTCATTTTAAAGCGTAGCCATTCAGCTTTCTAACAGTGGTTTGTTTCTTAAATTTGACTCATTGGTTCGCGGGTAATAATACTTTACGTTATTGCGATTGGAGATTAAAAAAATTGAGATGGAATAACAAATCGTTCTCATGAAAATAACTGATTTTTTCATTAAAACAATTGTTAAATGGATTGTAACAATAAGTATAATTACGCGGCTTTTCTTCCACTATTTTTAACTCAGTTTGAAACTTCAAATGCGATATAATTTTGGCTTGGACCATCTAAGCTGGCTGACATCAACTTGCTATAATTTCTGTTTACATTACATCGCAATTCGATGACACTCTGGCTCAGACACCAGAATGTTTTGACGATTTTTAGCATTCGTTTCGGATTTTCAAACAACCTGGTCTCTTTTAAAATACTTTTAATTTGTTCTTACGTGGTTTTCCAGATGTAGTGACGACAGCATTAAAGTTTAAAGAAGAAAATTCTAACATTTAAACAGACTAAACAATAACATAGTAAACTTGCATAATTAAACAGCAACTAAAAATGATAGGTTTTACTAAATCTTTTCCTGTGCAATTATTACTAGCATTGGAGACAAGGATAATAGTTTGTTTGAAAGAGAAAAGAACAGGCTTTGAAGTAAGCCTAAAAGCATTTAACTAGAAATAGTATTTCGAAAGTTATTAAGCACAAAAAATGAATTGCGTTTATTTTGATACACCCTGTATATATCCTAATATAGGAAAAAACCCAAAGGGATTAGATAAGCAAGGAAAACAGATATCCGGCCAAACTTATCAAATAGATCTTCTGCCAATAAGTTCTGCCAAGTTAACGACACTAAAGGCAATTTTTCTGCGAAGCCAGCCTTCTATAGCTATCAGCAAAAGACTGCACAACATCTCAGTTCATACTGTTTTCAACTGCCGGTGAGTAGACCCCAAGAAAAATCCCGCCCACCCATTTATTACGAATACTCACCAAATAGGCAAGGGCCAACTGATATAGATTAATTAATTAATAACTATATTGTAATTTAATTGATCATGATGTAGTCAACAACAAATCTTTGTATTTTAAAGCAAATTGTAAATTTCAATCGACCTATTGAAGAACAAATAAAGAAAGCGGGGCGGAAATTGGTGTCAACGCGGCCACACTTCACCAACGGTGAAGCACGTGCACACTGGCAAAGGGAGCAAGGTCCATAACGGCGGGGGCCCGTAACGGTCCATAACGGCGGGGGCCCGTAATTTGGTCACAAAGAATTCAGTGCGTGATTTATTAAATGTAGACTAAAAATTTCAACACTAGAGAGTCTTAAAGACTTTCATGCAACCTTGGAATCCATACTGAAAAACAGTCAATATTTGGCATATTTTTTCTAGACTGTCAGCATTTGATCCGAAGAATATCCACGTACCTTTGCAATGAGGAATTTGATTATTTTGTAACGTCCTTAAAATCCTACAAGATAAATGCCTTGTATTTTCTCCTTTGCTAAAGTAATATTCTTTATTACACACAACGGTAATATGATTTGCCTTGCGTTGTTTGAGTGAAATCTTTGTGTGTGGAGGAAGTTTGACATTCCTCAGTAATCCTCTACCACAAGGCCGTTTTGCGTTCACTTCTGGAAAGAGAAAGTACGTTTGTTAGCTTTGCGCTTTTCTCTTGTAGCTTTGCGCTTTTCTCTGCTTTCTTTCTGAAAGCCGATTTACACCACCGCACAACTTTTGCCTAAAACTGTCACATGCAACCTGCTTACAACTTGGAATGAGTTGTTGTCATGATGTATTTCTCGTGTAATATCTCAAGAAAACAAGTACGTTCGTACTATTGGGACCAGGACTGGTTACCACGTTGATCCATCGTTTTAGAACTCAAACTTTCGCATTGTTTCGCGACGCATTTTTTCAAATATGTTAAACTTATCTAAATGATCGAACGAAACACTAGTCAATTAAATGGTTCTATAAGGGCGGGCGTTTTATATTGGCAGCGTTCGCTTAAATTAGCCATTCCGAAGTTGATGAGTGGACTAGGGACGAGTGTTAAAAAGTGCCCATATTAAGAAATGAACCAAATCACTAAAACGATCACCTCAAAATTAGTAAGTATACAAAGTTTTAAGACGTTTACATGAATATCCTAATTCGAATAATAAGCTTTCGAAAATCGTGATATTTACTATGAAATGTATTGTCGAAGGCTTATTATTCGAAGAATATTCATGTAAACGTCTTCAAACTTTGTATACTTACTAATTTTGAGGTGGTCTTTTTAGTGATTTGGTTCATTTCTTAATTTGGGCACTTTTTAACACTTTCCGCCTATTGTACTATGGGCAAACAATCAGTGATTTTAAATATTTGTTCAGTGAAAATGCTTAGGTGCCTGAAGAGTTCATTCTTTTCAGCTTACTGATACCAAATCCCAACCATAACAAATAATTATTATTAACAATTTAATCAAAATTTAATGGTTAGTTATTTTTGTTATAGTTGCATGGGGTTGCGTGACGATCGGACTCAAAATGAAGGAGCATTATATAGGCTTTTTTCGAAGAGCGTCGCACAACAACGACAACGACAACGACAACATCAGCAACATCAACAACAACAACAACAACAACAACAACAACAACAACAAC